CTTCCTTCCTTCCTTCCTTCCTTCCTTCCTTCCTTCCTTCCTTCCTTTTCTTCCTTCCTCTCTTTCTTTCTTTCCTTTTTCAAGACAGGGTTTCTGTGTGTAATCCTGACTGTCCTGGAGTCACTTTGTAGACCAGGCTGGTCTCGAACTCACGGTGATCCTCCAGCCTCTGCCTCTGAAAGTGCTGGGATTACAGGTGTGCCCCACAGTGCCCAGCATATTACAGTTCATAACAGTAGCAGAATTACAATTATGAAGTAGCAACAAAAATAATTTTATGGTTAAGAGTATTAAAGGGTCACAGCATTAGGAAGGTGGGAGCCATGGGCCTAGAAGTAGAGCTATAGAGAATGGTGAGTCACTGGGAGGATGCTGGGTCCTGAACCCCGGTTCCCTGCCAAAGCAGCCTGTGCCATCTCTCCCGTCCCTGGCATAACAAGTTGTTACACTTGATCACTATAATCTCACTGCATGGGGACGGTTGTGATGGCCGCCCACACTGACAGTGCCCCACAGTCTCCCCACCACTCTGTTCCTGGCATGCTGAACAAAGAAAAAAAAGTTGTATCTGCCTTGTTCACAAGTATTTACCCTGCACCTTCCATATGTTCAAGGAAAATTTGTTAATTGAGTGGGGGGTGGTCTGTGAGAAAGGTGGACAGCACTGGTGTTCATCTCCTTACCCCGGGGTCATTTTCGTCTTCTCATTCAGAAATGATGAATGTAGTGCATGAGTCAGGCGTGGGGGCATCAGAGGCAGGACAGCCAAGGCTACACAGAGAAATCCTGTCTCCAAAAACCACAACCCAAAACACAAATAAACAGTAATTTTAAAAAGTATTATGTACCCTATATCACTTGAGAAAGTACCAAGGGCCATAAAGGAAGACAGCTGGCATATGTGTTGCTCCACAGCATGTCATTGGGGTGTGTATGTGTGTGTGTGTGTGTTTAGAGCCATTCACCATCATACTTGGTTTACAGAATCTGAGGACGGAACTCAGGGCCCCTTGCGTGTTCAGCCAGTAAAGGTGCCTGCCAGCAAACCCGACAACCTGAGTTCAGTCTCCAAAGCCAACATGCTGGAGGGAAAGAACGGACTCCTGCAAGTTGGCCTCTGACCTTCACACACATGCACACGGTCACAAAAAGTAAATAAATACAACTGTGATAACCTAGTTAAAAGAGCAAGATTACTAATGGTGCACGGAAAGAAAGGCCCATGAGCAGAAAGAGTAAAGCCTGCAGCC